GACTGAAACCAAGGACAAAAAGAAAAATCTTAAAAGCAGCCAGAGGAAAAAAATATTCTATTTACATAGGAACAAAGAAAAGAGCAGAGATTTCTCATAGAAAACAGTGCAAGACAGTGAAGTAACATCTTTACAGTATCAAAAGACACAAAATTGTATAGCTGATAAACCAACAGTGCATAAAAAATGGAATCCTAATACTATTTTAAGGCAGATCATGATAGATTTAATATGTGTATTATAAACCCTTTAAGCAACTAGTTAAAAAACAAAAAACAAACAGCCAATAAACTGGCAAAGGAGATAAAACAGAATTATAAAAAAGAATCCCAATAATACAAAATACAGAAAAATACGAAAAAATTAAAAACATGTAAGACAAACAGAAAACACACAGCAAGAGTAGATTTAAATCCAACCATATGAATAACCATGTTAAATGTAAATAGTCTAAATACCCCCAAGTAAAAGGCAGTGACTATCATATTGCATAATAAAGCAAAGCACAGAAGAAACACACTTCAAATAGTAAAACACAAATAAGTTTAAAACAAAGAAGTAAAGATAAACTATGGTAACATCAATCAAAAGAAAGATGGAATCTATATGTTAATATTGGAAAATACAGATTTCAGAGAAAACATTATTACTAAAGATAAGAAAGGTCATTTCATAATCCTAAAGGAGTCAATTCATCAAGAGTGCTTAACGGTTCTAAAAGTTTATGCACCTAATAACAAAACTTCAAAATATATGAAGCAAAACTGATAGAAATTAAATAGAAATTGAAAAATCAACAATGATTGTTGGAGATTTCAACATCCCCTCTCACTAACTGATAGAAAAAGCAGACAAAAAGTCAGTGAGCATAGTGCTACCCAGTGAGGGCCTGGGTAGCACTCTGAAACAATTTGACCTAATATATAATTCTCTACCCAATAGCAACAGAATATTCATTCTTTAGAGTACACACAGTATATTCACCAAGATAGACTATATTATTGGTCATAAAATTAAGGCTCAATAAGTATTTTAAAAATTCAATCATACAAGTTATATTGTGACCAAAATGAAACTAAATTATAAATCAATAACAAAAAGATATCTAGAAAATCCTCAATATTGAGAAAGATAATCATATTTCTCAGTAAGCCATAGATCAAAGAAGAAATTAAAAGGCATTTGGAACTGAATAAAAACAAAACTATAGCACACCAAAATTTGTGTGACATAGCTAAACCAGTATTCAAAGGAAAATTTAAAGCACTGAATATCTGTACTAGAACAGAAGAAAGATCAATTATCTTCCATCTGAAGAAATCAGGAAACTTAAGATCAAAAAACTATCCAGATAGAAACATAAAAATAATAGAAAAAAAATCAACGAAATTAAAGGCAGCTTCTTTAAAGAAATCAGTAAAATTTATAAACCTCTATCTAGATGTATCAGGGGAAAAAAAGGAGACATAAATTACCTATATCAGATGAGGATGAAAGGCATTTTTAACTTATATCCCTAAACTATTTGACACTCCTACCTCTAGGAGTTGGTGCCTAATTTCCCTTCTTTTGAACACAGACTAAGAAACTTGCGTCTAAAAGAATAAAGCAGAAGTAAATATGCGTGACTTCAGAGGCTAAGGGATTAAAGACAATGTGCATCTTTATTGATCTCTCTGTTGTATCACACACTCAGGGAAAGCTAGCTGCCATGTTGTGATAACAGCCAAGCAACACTATAAAGATCCATGTAGTGAGGAACTAAGGCCTACTGTTAAGAGCAGTAGCAAACTGAGGCCTCATGGCTAATAGCTACATGAATGAGCAATCTTGGAAGCAAATCCTTCACCTCTAGCTTGACCAGCTGGCAGCCCAGGACAGCTCTGAATGCAGCCCAACACAAATTCGTGAACTTTCTTAAAACATTATGGGATTTTTGTGATTTTTTTTTTTTTTAGCTTATCAGCTATCATTAACGTATTTTATGTGTGCCCAAGACAATAATTCTTCTTCCAGTATGACCCAGGGAAGCCAAAAGATTGGATACTCTGTTTTAGATCATCAAAGTCTTGGCAAATATCTTGACTGCAAAATCATGAGAGATTTTGATCAAGAACTACCATCCAAGTTGTTCTCAAATTTCAAATCCACAGAAATGGTGAGACAATAATTGTTTTTGTTTTAAGCCACTAAGGTTTGAAGTAAATAGCAGCAAAAGACAAGCAACATAGAGAGCATCATTACAGACCCTAAAGACATTAAAAGGATAATAAGGGACTATTATAAATAACTTTAAGCCAATAAAATCAGAAACCTAGATGAAACTAACAAATTCATTGAAAGACACAAACTACCAAAGCTCACTCAAAGGAAAGAGAAAATCTGGTAATAGAGACAACACCTAAACCTGATTATATATTAGGTCACAGGAAAAAATAGCAGTAACTTCCATGGAGACTTCTTTTTTTTTATAAACAATACTGTCTAATTACAATACAAGAAAAATTAGAAATCAGCAACAAAACTAAAAACCAAAAAGGACGTTCCACGAGAAAATTTTTAAAACCTATTAAGGTGCATAGTAAATTGACATCATATAGCTTCTAAGAAAGGTGGTGACAAGACTACATGTCAGCATCTATAGGATACTTTTGAAACAGTGATGAGAGGAAACGCAAAGCCTTAAAAACTTATATACATAAAACCTGCTCACTGGCCAAATCTGGGACAATTCGAGGATCAAAATAATGATTATAATCAAATAATTTTTTAGAAAGTCCATGCATCCATTCTAATATAATTAAATAAATGAGAAAGCAGGCAATGCTACTCCTTATAATAAATTGCCACTTCATAAATACAGAAATGACAAGAGTTAGAAAATCATCATTTGGCAACCATGATAGTAACAGTCGACTCAAGTAAAAGTCAATGGATGCTAAAACTCGAGAATGTGTGTCAAAGTTTGATGCCTCAGAGTACCTCCCCAAAAATACTTATGAAATACAAAAGGAGCCTCTGGCAGATGACACCTTAACCAGGTGATCAAAGTTAACATCATCAATAATGGAACCAACCAGGTAACTTCACAAGCCTTAAGAAGGACAAAACAATCTTTCTGTAGTTTCCCTGCCAAAAATGCATTATGTGATATAGTGAGGAAATATCATTCAAACCCAAATTGAGATACAATCTACCGAAGAGCCAACCTGTACTCTTTAAAAATGTCAAGCTTATAAAAAACACAGACTGAGAACTGTTTCAGGTTAGATATGACAACTAAATGTAATGTGGGATCTTAACGACAGATGGTAGGGGATAGGGGGTATAAAACATACAACTGTATCATAAACAAAATTTGAAATATGGACTCTTAGATAATAGTATATCATTAAATATCCTGATTTTGATCATTGTACTGTGGTTATGTATGAGTGTGTCCTTGTTCTTATGCAATTTATGCTCAAGTATTTGGGCATAAAAGGGAACTATGCCTGATTTAACCTCAAATGGTTCAGGAAAATAATGTGTACACGCGCCCACCCACATACATATACTTAACAACGATCAATCAAATGGAGAAAATGTAGACTGGTGAATCTAGGTAAAGGGTATACTGGAATTACTTGTGCTGTATATCCTTGCTAGTTTTCTGTAATTTTGAAATACACACAAAATATTTTTAGACACGTACAATGTTCAGGTTAAGATTTAAACAAACTGGTAAGGCAGGTACAAATTGGAACTGTAGCTACAGCAATGGTCATAAAAAACTTTCATCTAATCTCAATTCTAACGGCTGCACTTGCTTTCTAAGAGGCCTTAGCAGACATAGACATACAAAATAGTATTTGCCTTAAAGTGCCTAAAATTAGGTATAACATGCTTCCTGTAAAAAAAAAATATATAACTTAATAATTTTTCCACTTTTCTAAATGTTGTCTAAAAGAGAATCATATTTTCAGCTAGGTAATTCAAGAAGAATACTTCTAATTGGAGAGGGAAAGGTGGATTAACTTTTTTCCATATGGAATAATGAATTTTAACCTCTACTTTCTGTGATGGTCATATGGTAATTCCACATATACTCAAAGACTATGCGTGATGTCGGGAAGCGGGCACAAGTTTGGTGTAATGGTCAGAAAGGAAAAGTCTACACTCAAAATCCTAACCTAAGGTACCCTGGTGCAATGTAGAGAGAAAAAAAATCCAGGACTGAACTGCGTTTAAGGGATTCTGATGTCATCATCAGCAAATAACGTCTCCGGTTTCCCATACCCTGATTTCTTCAATTAGAAAACGGGCATGATGATTCTTTTAAAAATTTCTGCCTCAAAGGGCTGAGGATTAAGTGAGCTATTTACCTGGAAAGCGCTTTGTAAACTTCGAAACCCTACACATGTGTTAGTATGTGTAATAAACTCCGTAAGAGAGGCCACTGGAATCAGCAATGGTAATTAATTCCATTGCTGTCATGCTTCTCCTAAAAAATACTGTAACTGTGGGTGTTGAGGTACATACGACTTGGCAAAGGGCCAAAATAAGGTTGTCTTCCCAAATATTCTTTCTACAGGAAACACGAATATGATTAGCCCAGATTCCCGAGTGAACTCATCAACATCCGTGGAGGTGAAGAGTGTTAAAATTGAGTTAGGTCAAAATTTACCACCAAAAAAAAAAAAAAAAAATCAAAGAACAGTCAATTACGGGACACAACGAAGAAGGAAGCCAAACTCAGGGAAGGGCGAGGGAGAGAGGAGGCGTGGCCCCAGCCCCGCTCCACGCCGCGCGCCTCCTAGCTCCTCATCCCGCGCGGAGACCACAGGGGTAGCGGCGACAGCGGCGTTTCTCAAACCTTCAGTCTCCCAAGAGCCGTTACGCGCCGCCCTTCTCAATCCCCACAAGTCTGGGCCCCTAACCTCCTAGCCTGTCACAGACTTCTGCGCGCAGCTACGCTGCAAGAGGCTCTCTTAGCTACAGAGCAACCACCGGGCGGGTACCTGAGCTGAGATGAATCCCTCATACACGGTTTTCGACCGGTTCTGTGGCAGAAGCAGCGGGCACTGGCGCAACAGGCTCGCTTCCGTCACCGCCATGGTTCCAAGTCCGGAGAGACACAGAGAAGCTCTAGACCTGCTGGGTCCTGCACATGCGCAGTCCGCTTGCGCTTAGACGCCGCGGAGCGGAAACCCGAGCCTTGGCGGGAAGATCCTGGAGGATTCCGCGGGCGGAAATGAAGGTAAAGCGCAGGCCAGGCCAAATGGCGCTCTGCCGGAGGCAACATCGGGGCTCCCCAACCGGTAGTGGGAGGGAAGATTGCGCTCAAGTCCGCAGGACTGACTGACCAACGTCATTCTAACCTCGATTGTCCCAGGAGCCCTTTTGATGATTCTGTTTGACTTTGTTGAAAGACTTAAAACTTTGGTGTTACATTTCCTCCAGAATAAAATGACTTCTACAGCCTGGACATTGTAGCACTTCTGTCTTAAACCTCTCGCACCCCCTTCTTTGCTGTTGTCCTCTCTCCCTTAACATACAGAATAATGTATTATTTTGTGTATCATTATAGTAATACGTATTATAACACATTCATTATATCATACATTACAGTTCTGTAGCTTACTAAGTTTAATCAGATATATTTGAGACACACTCACGTATATACGTATATATGTATTGATTAGACTCAAGTCAACAGTGGACTCAGTTCTGTGTATGGCACTCACAAATACAAAAAGCAAAACATGAGTGAAGACTGCTGATGGACTTGAACTTAATTTTCCTCTGACAGCCCGTGCAATACGTTTTTCTAACTCAGTAATGTTATCCGTCCCATCTTATTGAGAGCTGATTAAATAAGAAACTTACTAAAATATTTACCATATGATTATTTGATTTTCCAATTTTCCAATGCATCACGTGTTTGAGCCCTACTATTTGAAAAACATCATTGTAATGTGCCAAAGGTTGTGCAAAGATCGTTTTGTCCCCTACCCATCTTTATTGCCCTCAAGACAGAATTTGATATCCTGAAGATTCTTAAAGTTTGACAAGAATTGTCACAGCATTCTGGATGCTTACAGAAAAGAATGCTGCAGCAGTGGTTAGATATAAATTACATTAAAGCAGTGGTTCTCAAAATATGATCCCAGAACCTAGCAACAGCATCACCTGGGGACTATGTAGAAATATAAGTTTTCACTGCTGATGGGGTTCAGGATATGCTACCCCAAAATATGGCTCCTTGACATTTGAGAAAAACAGCAAAACCTAAGATCACTCTCTGACCTTCTCCCATCCTTCTTCCCTGAGGCGGGTTATTGGATCCTCAATCCAGAGGTGCTCTTCCTATACCCACAGGAAAGAAATATCCTTATCTCTAAAGAAACAGGGACATAGAAAAGAATCTGAACAAAAAGACTTTTGACAGCTTACCCCAGTTTATTGCGTTGTCCAACCGTACTTCCCCACAACTGTCCACTGTTCCTTCTTAAAATGCACAGGTTTTCCTGTTTCTTTGGGCTTCATTTCCATGCCACATAAAACTTAAGTAAATTTGCATGCTTTTCTCTTATTAGTGTGTCTTTTCTTATAAGGGACTCAAACAGGAATCTAGTTACAGGAAAGAAAGATATTTCTCATTCCCTACAGGACCCTATTTCAAACCTCGGGAATCCCAAACTCTGGGAATAGGGCCCAGCAGTCTGTGTTTTAACAGGCTCTCCAGGTGATTCTGATGCATGCTAAGGTTTGAGTATCTCTGCAGGGTCAGGACATAACACCTGCTTTATTTTGCAACTCGATGATTAAGGATGGCCATGCTACATTTTCTCTAATAAGAATAAAGTAAAGGCTGCGCAAAAGTGGGATCAACACAAAGATTAAGAGGACATATAGTCCCTTACTTTAAGCACTTTATAATTTTTCTGTAAATTAAGACCTTTATTGTATCCAGTACCTTAAACTTCCCCACCACCACAGTTTCCCCCTTGGAACTTCTACCCTTTCTTGAAAGTTCTTCTCAAGTGCTATGTCTTTTTGGAAACCTTTTCGAATCTTCTGAAAATTATTGTTCTCCCTAATCATTTAGCATATTTCCTGTTGCATTGTAGATGCTAATAAATTATTTACTAAATATCTTAATTTGGGTTGTTACAACAGAATACCATAAACTGGATAGGTAATCCACAGAAATTAATTTCTCAGTCATAGAGACTGAGAAGTTCAAAATCAAGATGCAAGGACAAGATTTGGTGTCCGGTGAGGAGTCATTTCCTAGAACACAGTCTTTTGGCTGTGACCTTACATCACACTCACCTTTACCACTGATAGTCTGCACAGTGTAATCACTTGCCAAAAGCAGTTGACTCCTTGATTCGGAATCCCCATAACTAGGTTATTAGACTTAAAGATTTCCAGAATATTTATTGCTAATTTATCATCTTAGTTTTTAAAGAAAAGATATCCAAGTCACTGTTATTGGTAATTGAACTTGTAAATGAGCATTCCTTATCAATAAAATCTATAACTGAAGAAATCCAACGACCAGGGAACAAGGTAAGATACCATATAAAGACTTTTTAATTCAATTACTCGACTGTTATCCTTAGGTGTTCAAGACTGAAAGTTGGATACTCACTACCATCATCAATTCATATGTGGTTTGCTGGAACCATTGTCTATATATAGCCCATTTTAAGTCAGCCGCCCCAGAAATAAAAAAAAAAAAAAGAATGCTCAATATGTTTAAAGATCAGAAAGCCAAGGAACTATTTCTACCACCATCAGCATGATTTCCATTTTGGAATCACTCTGACAAACTGCACAACGACCCTCATTAAAGTTCAAGTTCCACAAGATATGCTAGACAGGATTTCATTTATATACTTTGCCACCAAAATTACTACTATTTAAATGCTATTGCCTGAGGAAGAACTGTATATTCTAACACAGAAAAAGATCCAAACATTTTGATAAATAAACAGCACAAATTCCAGAATGGTATGCTTACTATTACAACATTCATATTCAAATAAATAAGTAAAGTCACACTATATTACTAGGAATGGTTACTTTGGGGGATGGAGATGAGAACAAAGAATGGGGATAATGACACTTGGAGACTTTTATCTTTTATATTTTAATTTTTTAAAGGAGAATTGTTAGTCTTAAAATTAAAAATTAAAATTTAAAATGCTTATACCACTCCAATTAGCATCTGTTATCCCTATTACATAGCCCAAATGTTCAGCTATGTCCCAAGAGTTTCTTCTCCCAGTTCCCACTAGTAATGGAAGAAGACAGGATGCCTGCCATTAACATTAATAAGATTAATAAGGGAGAAATTGTTTGAGTCTGCTGAGAAGAGAGATGAAGGGAGAACCTTGGGAAATGTGAAAATCAAGGGAAAATGAAAACTAGGAGAAAGTGGAGGAAGAATAGCCATTTAAACGTTTTCAAAAAAACTGGAAAAGCAAGCCAATAATATCCTATTCTCTACAACACTGTGTCATAGAATGGAAAAGACAGCAGATATTCAAGATTAAGGTATGATCAGGAGTGTAAAATGCTACCTAAAGGTTGAAAAAATTGAGAATTATCGAGAGGCCTTTGGATTTGATCATGCAAAAGCATTTATTAATTTGAAAGATCACTTTGCTCTTGCTTTTTTCTATCGAGACACTAAATAGCAGTTTATAAATTGTGATGTAGTGAATAATTTTTCAGCCTTGAGAAGAGCATATTCATAAGAAATAAACTACAAAGACTTAATTATGTGACCAAAGTTTGGTACAGTGATATATGAAGAAGATAATCTGGCTCCTACAGCCCTACCCCAACTCTTTTGGAGCACACTCCCATGGTAGGTAGGTTTTACCGACAATGAGTCTAGATCCATTGCAGGTACAGAATAACAATTTCTGCTTCACTCTGAGCTGTAGACTTGAGGAGCAATGATACCCACAACCCAACTACAGGTAAACAAAAGACCATTTAAGGGATAAGTCTGCTAAAAGAGTTGATGGGTTACAAAGATTAGCCTAGAATCAGAAGAATATTTATAGGGTCATCATCTAAAGAAAGCATAAGAAGGTAAACAGGCTGTTCAAAAGTATAGAAGAATCCAGATTATTAAACAACCCTCTTCTTAGCAAAGTACAAGGACCCTCTTCCCAGGAAACATCATCCCCACACCCAGCGAAAGCCACTGATTAGAGAGATTAACAGCTCTTTTGTACTTTTTAATGAGCAACTGGGATAAATGTCCTCAGATTACTAGCATCTAACAAAAATTACAACTCAGGAAATAAATGTTGCAGTTGACAGTGGCAGAATAGAAGAGACCTATTTACAGGGGGTGCAAACTTGAAAAGGCCACAGTTGTAGAGGTTAGGAGAAAAAAGAGAATAATAAGTACATAGGATTAGAGAAGAGTAGTTGTTAAGAGGAGGATGAAGGATGCAGCAAGAGAAATCAAAGGGAAAAATTACGTATGTTTATTGTGAAATTCTGCTTGAGGCTAATCAATCCCACTTGCCCGAAGACTCCAAAAGGAAAGCAATTCCATCCCTGAGAAAAGGACTTTCTACATCCAAAGAGGAAAGAAGATGCACAAATCCCTCACTTTTACTCTGGAAAACTCGAGCTAATAGATCAAAATGAATGAGAGGAAACAGATTTAATCTTACTCATTCTCAATAAAAGTTCTCAATACTGTCCCTAAACCATCAAAATCATTTTAAAATATTTTAATATATAGGTGCCTAGATGATGCTGAAAGGTTATCGAAAGTATGATCTCTGGACCAGCAGCATCGGCATCACCTTAAAAGAACACACCAACTCAGATCTACTGGATCTCTCATTTCAGGAAGAAGGGTTCAACAATCTGTTTTAACAAGTATGTGTGTAACAAATTCATGGGCCAGGTGCGGTAGCTCATCCCTATAATCCCAGCACTTTGGGAGGCCAAGGCAGGCAGATCACTTGAGGTCAGGAGTTTGAAACCAGCCTGACCAACATGGCGAAAACCCATCTCTACTAAAAATACAAAAATTGACCAGGCATGGTGGTGCACTCCTGTAATTCCAGCTACTCAGAAGGCTGAGGCACAAGAATCCCTTGAACCCGGGAGGCGGAGGTTGCAGGG